TTTGGGGTGTTAAAAAGCCAAAAATTAGCATCGCTTTTCGCCAAACATTTTTATCAGTACTTTTTAATCAATCCCACCCCTCCATACTATATGATGAGAGGCTTAATATAAATAATATAAAACCTACATACTATAATTATGGTTAAAATCAAAATAGGTACTATAATTTGACCACAACCCATTTTTGCATTTCGATATTGACCACTTTCAAACTCGGTCCTATAATTAGACATATATTTTAATTTTGGTCTTTTTTTATCCACATCCTGCATAAAAAGGTGACGTGACGTAACTTGACAATTTAGTTTACGTGGCGGAATTAGAAATGGCGGGGAAATGACAATCAATTCTCAATTCTTAGACCTAAATCGACACAGGCAACATCCAATTTCACAACCTTACCAAAAAAAAGCACATCAGGGTGCCTGCTGTCGCTTTTCGCCACCGTCGTTCGCTAGCCGCCGGTCGACCAACTCCTATCGAAAAAAATTCAAACTCTTTTCGTCATCGTTCACCTCCTATAATTCTGGCAAAAAATTCCACCTGTAAGAAACCATCAATTGCTCCGATCAAATTTTTTAGATTTAGAAAGTTCCGGTCAAAATTTTATCCCCAAAACCCACCACTTTCATTTAGTAATATAGACTATAGAGAAGACGAGGACGCTAGAATATAGTATTACATTATAGTTACGAAAAAAAAAAAAATTATAATAATATATAGTAAGGGAGAATACTACCATCCCGTTACGGGATGGTCCCATTATGCATTTTAGTCGTAGATATACACATAATTCGATAATGTGTAAATAATTCAACGCTTACAAAATATAACGGAACCATCCCGTAATGGGATGGTAATATTCTCCTATACTAAGAATGTCAAAACAGCGGGCCAATTTCTCCTACGTCATGATTCACGTATTATGAGGAGGGTCAAAACCAAAGCAAGTAGTTTAACCTCCACTCAACAACCATATTAGAACAATTACATATTGAATACTAATCAACTTTAAATCGGATCTATATTAATATTAGTTGATACCACGTAAAACATTAGCCGCAACTTGCATCGACAATTTTAAAGTGGACCCAAACCCAATACGTGGATGCGGCGAAACGCAACCTTAAAGCGGATAAATAATATTTCTTTTTCCTATAATTTTGCTTCCTTTAATAGAGTATATGAGAGAAGGAAAAGGAAATGAGGACTTGGATCCCACTGCCGGTGGAGGAGAAATATAAAAGTGGA